GCTTCAAGAGAAACAATGGAAGCTAGCATAAAAGAATGATATCTTCAAGGTGCTGAAAGAAGGAAACTGCCAATCTAGAAACTTACACTCAATGAATATATTCTTCAATAATGAAATAAAAAGTAAGGATTTTCTCCATCTACAGACTCACACTAAAGGAAATACTAAAGGATATTTTCAGACAGGAGAAAGAGGATCCTCTACATCAAACCTTGGGGACTCTATTCCACAAACTCTGTACCCTGGAACTCAGGAATCAAGATTTTACAGAAATAAAAAGCGTTCTTCAGGGAGGGGAAAATAAAGGTTGAGGGTGACTGGTAAAATGAAGTTTGAGTTACCTTAGTATATGTTAACTCTGAACCAGACTCTCAGGCTCTACAAGGATCTCATGAAGTTATCTGATTTCCCATTTAACATCTCAGCCTTCTAAGTTATTCTTAAGGATGAAGAACGTTCTATTTGTCAAAGACTACATCACCAGATGGGTCTAAATAGTTACAAGTCACTTCCTTACATTGAGTTGAAAATCACCCCTTTGTAATTTGACTTATTAGTTCTAGTTTTATGCCCTGTCTTTACCAAAAACAAATAAAAATAAAAACTAATGCTTCCATATACATACTTTTTCAAATAGCTAAAGACAAGCTATCATGAACCTGAACCCCCATGCTTTCCTCTCCAAATCCACAATTTCATCAGCTATCCTAGGACATGGAAAAGAATCTCTTCCCAATCCTGGCTATTATTCTCTAAATGAACCTATCCTTGTCTAAGTAGATCCTTCTTAAAGTACCACCTCATAATTCAATTCAGTAATTCTGATGTTGCCTGTAACATCAGAAAATGACTTCCTTAAAAGTACAGCAAGTTGGATTTGTCAAGTTGCTGACCAGGTTGCATTCCCTCCTGCCCTCACTCCCATCTTTGTGTTATGCTTTATCTCAAGTTCCATTCTGCTTATTATTCATGACTCTCAAGTTGTCACTGTGGACATCAGAGTCCATAAATATATATTGTTCTGGCTCTTTCCTGTAAATCTTTCCGAGTCATACCTGCTATTCTCCAAAGTCTGTGAATCCTGTTACTAATAACTTGGCCATTCAGTTTAAGGTCCTCTTCAGAAGGTCAATTAGCTCAAGGCAATCACATTCTTCCCAGGTCTTTTAAAAAATACTCCAACCCTAGAAAAGGCCCTTCTTTCTGGTATCAGCCATGGGCCACAAACACAAATCCAATAGCATTTCAGTCATTTACCTCCCAGATCATCCCCTCCCTAAAGTCCTAACTAGAGCAGGAAAAAATAATGAAAACACCACCTGCAGTCACGAATCCTCCAGTTTCCTGACCAAGATTTCATATTCCCTTCAAGATACCTCCCAAAGAGGACATGACAAGGGAGGGGAACACAGGGTGCTACAGGTACTGATAAGGTTCTATTTCTGTTTTATTTTGTTTTTGAGATGGAGTTTCACTCTTGTCACCCAGGCTGGAGTGCAATGGCATGATCTTGGCTGACTGTAACCTCTACCTCCTGGTTTCAAGTGATTCTCCCACATCAGCCTCCCAAGTAGCTGGGACTACAGGCACCTGCCACCACGCCCAGCTAATTTTTGTATTTTTAGTAGAGACAGGGTTTCACCATGTTGGCCAGACTGGTCTCAAACTCCTATCCTCAGGTGATCCACCTGCCTCAGTGTCACAAAATGCTGGGATTACAGGGATGAGCCACCATGCCCAACCAAAGGTTCTATTTCTTAAGTTTGGCATTGGGTATATATTCATATGATTTAATGGTTTTTTTTTTAAAAAATGGTATCTTCTTGTTTTTTGTGGTGTTTTGGTTTTTGTTGTAGGCCTGCATGCTTCATTTGTTCACCCATATGAATCCGTAAAGAAGTAACCATTAGCAACTTCAGTCAATATATACTAGATTTATACTTTAGGAAGACAATCCAGTTGACAACCACAACAGTTTCTACGATAACAAAAGTCAGAGAAAATACTGACATTAGGATCATTTCTAGAAAGTTCAATCATAAGATATATCCCCAAGCAAAAATATACACACAGAAAAGCTAAGTAAGAAGCTTTTAGAAAACTACTACCATCCTTAGAGTAAGTACAACAAAGTATTCTTTTATGTCTTTGTTTTTTTCATCAAAATACCTCATACAGCCATAGATTTTAAACCATTACATCTTATCTAGATTCCATATTAGATCATTAACATTTTTTCTAGATTCCATTGTTATTCTTTTGTAACCTTTATTTTAGGTATCTTAAAAATACTTTATTAAATATAACACATTCAGAAAAGTACACAAAATATACCTTAAGGTAGACCTTAACAAGTTACTCTAAATTATGTGCCCATGTAACCACCAGCCTGCTCCAGAAAGATATTAGAGCCAGGATCCAAGAAGCCCATAGACGTATCTTTCAGTTCACACCTCCCTACCTCCCACCTAGATGGACTCCTTAACCTACCCTGTGTGTAATCACCTCTTTTTTCTTGATAGTTTTACTGCCCAAGTATGAATCCATAAATAAGTGTTTCTCAGGTTTCTTTTCATTTATGTTCTATGGCCCTTTGGAGGGCAGCAGACCATGATAATAGGTAAGATTTTCTTTCACTCTAAGGAACCAGTTTTTACTCCACTGCAGGCGATATTGCCTCCACTAAGAATGTGTGCCCTAACCAACATGAGTTTTGCCTATTTTTGAACTCTATATAGAGGGAATTGTACAAATTAGGTTTTGGGGGTCTGGTCTCTTTTGCTTAACATAGTGTTCAAGATTCGCCCATCTTGTCCCACATAGCTGTAAGCCATTTTATGAATACTACAATTCTCCATTTTACTGGAATGAACATTTGGGTTATTTTCTGTTTGTGGCTATTACAAACAATGCTGCTCTGAACATTCCTGTGTCTCCTGGCACCTACGTACTCGTTCTTGTGGAGTATATATCCACAAGATTCCTGAACCATAGGGTATGAGTATCTTCCACTTTACCAAACTGTTTTCCAAACACTTGTACAAATATACACCCATTAGAAGGATATAGAGTCTCATAACAATTTTCTTACGTTAAAAGATAAGCAAAATGTCTTCTATCCCTTGTTTTTCTTCTAAGATCTGAAGATCACTGTGCAAAGACAATTTGTTTGCAATTCAAACAAAAATATTATTATTATTATTTTTACTAACTCAAAAATGAACCAATCAGAAAGTTAAAATTGAGCACCCAGGGTAAGTTCCAGAAAGAGGAGATCTTAAGCTTCTCTATATCCCTGGGAAAAATAGAGGCCACTATAGCTTCCAGCTCCTTTAGAATAAATGTCCCAAAGAGATCATAATAGCCTAAATCTAATCTAATAAGAGGGTTCAGAGTTTGTAGTCATTCTAAAGGAAAATAGTCACATGTATATAATTTTCTCAAGGATTCAAAAAAAAAGTTTAATATGCTTTCTTAAACTTGTATTATTAGCCAAGGTGTTCAAGTAGAAAAATTTGCCATGGACAGAACTGTCAAAAGTTAAATCACTAAAAAATCAGTATTTTTCCACAACTGTCCTATATATACATATCCAATATGTATCCCACCCCCCACTCCCTCTTTTTTTTTGTTTTATGAGACAGGGTGTCTCACTCTGTCACCCAGGCTGGAATATAATGGTGCAATCACAGCTCATTGCAGCCTTGACTTCTCCAAGCTCAAAAGATCTTCCTGCCTCAGCCTCCCACCACCCCTGGTAGCTGGGACTACAGGTGTACTCCAGCTATATATTTTTAAAGTAATAACATAACTACCTCCACAATAAGAGTTGATTATGTTGCTTTCAAAACTGGGGGAAAAAATAAAAATCAACTTGGCAATCATTCCCTGTATAATGAAATGTATTAAACTTATTTACTTATCAAGCAATATTGCTCAAGCTTTTTGCCAGAAGATAAAAATCATGTAAATGTTCACTCTATCAGGAAGATGACAAAATATTCCAATGGACCTATAAAAACAATTTCTTTAAATCCAAAAACAAGCAAACTCATCCTATCTTACCCCCTACATCTTTTGGAACTTGATTGTGTTTGAGTTTCAGAAAATAAAATTAGTAAACATTTCCATTTCTGTCCAGTTTTAAGAAGTGACATTTATAATCTGACAACAGAAAAGAACAAAAGAACAATCAGAAGAGCAGGGATTTAGAGATCCTTACCTGTCTTATAACTCTGTGATCTGTATATGTCCCTGAGCTCTTCCATAAGTCTATCTGAAGCTTGCACTGACCCAGACACTGCAGCCTGAAACACAAAAGCCACTGTTTATCAGGGTCTACTGAACCAACTAATTTGAAGATTTAAGGTCTTTCAACCTGCTCTAAAAGATTACAGTAGCCAGGCAGGGGGCTCACACCTGTAATCACAGCACTTTGGGAGGCTGAGGAGGGTGGATCACGTGAGGCCAAGAGTTTGAAACCAGCTTGGCTGTCAGGATGAAACCTCATCTCTACTAAAAAAATACAAAAGTTGGCCAGGCATAGTTGCACTTGCCTGTAGTCCCAGCTACTCAGGAAGCTGAGGCAAGATAATCACTTGAAAATGGGAGGTGGTGGTCATAGTGAGCTGAGATGGTGCCACTGCACTCTGGTCTGGGTCACAGAGTGAGACTCCATCTCAAAAGAAAAAGAAAAAAGAAAAAGATTACAATAAAAATGGATCACCACTCAACAATTTTAGAAGTTAAAAAAAAAAGTCCAATTAAATGAAGCATTATGAAGTTTCAAGAGAATATAAAACCAGACACAAGTCTGGTTCATTTCCTTTACTTATCACCTAAAAAAGTCTAGCCAACATATTCAGACCACCATGGACTCCACGATAGCATAGAATTCAGTATGAGTCTATTCCAAACCCCAGAAATTTTTGAAAATACTAGAAGACACTCAAGGTGACACATTATTAACTAAAATAGGCTTCATTCATAAGACTACAGGCAAGAATATTACACAGATGGTCTAGTTCACATATTAAGACACTGAGAACCATTTGTGCCTACATGCAACTGGTTTCAGTTTTTCAGTGCAGGGACTTCTTTAAAGATGAAAACACATCAATATCTTATCTTCAGACTAAATAGAAATGGAACTACTTTTTGGTCATGTGAAACTAAAGGTTTTAAAGACTACACTAGACTTTGAAGGAGAAAAAAATCAAATTTATAAAAATATTACTCTTAGCTATGTAATCATGAACTCATTTCATATCTATAAAACATGAGAACTGTTTCCTATCTCTAAAATATAAAGAGCACCTATTTCACACAGTGGCTATGATGAATAAATGAAAAGATCTATAAAGTATAAAGTATTTAGCATAGTATCGGTCATACAAAAGTGTTCAATAATTTATCCTTGTTTTGAAGATAACTCAAACTGGAATTGATCACAAGACACAGAAAGCACAGTAACATTAATTCAAATGCTACAATCTTAGTTTTTTAAATAATCAAGATATGGGGGATTGGCTAAATTTCTTTGCTGTATGAAAAATTACCAATTAAATTAACATATAAATAAGATTGAAGAAGGGAGAGTTATCTATCTGATTTCAACATTTGGCATCTATTTGGCTAACAATTCATTCCCTATTTTGGAGAACCTGTGCCCAAGACAAAGTAACTGGTCCTTGGATATTGTGGAGTTGGTAAATAGCTCTAGTACAAGGCAGGAAGCAGTAAGTGTTCAGACAATCATTTGATGCTTCCCTACTCTGTCTAAGCATTTTATGTATATACATGCATCATTTTAATTTATTTTTCATAGCAATCATCCAAAAGATACGTATTGTCTATCATATTTTAGAGTTGAGCAAAGTGAAACCATATGTGTGTCTGTCTCCAAACTCAGTGTTCCTTTCCCATCCTGCTGCTTCACATAAAAGAGATGTTAAGTCAAAAGAGAAACATTACTTTTGGTTCGGTCAGAGCAGGATGGGCCAAAGTCAGCTTCATGAAGGAGAAATAATTTGAGTTGTGTTTTGTAGGAGAGAATGAATTTGAATGTACAGATGCCACAGAAGGAAGGTCAGCAGAGAAAACAGCATAGACAGGTGGAAAGGGGCATATACAGGGATCAGCAGGTGGTTCAGGATGTGAAGAGCAGATGAACAAGGTAAAAAGTGGCTATTCGTAGACGAGAAAGATAACCTTGGGCAGCAAAACATATGAGTGTGGCTGGGCATGGTGGCTCATGTCTGTAATCTCAGCACTTGGTCAGGCCAAGGTAGCAGGAGTGGTTGAACTCAGGTGTTCAAGACCAGCATGGTCAACATAGTGAGACCTCATTTCTACTAAAAATCAAAAAGTTTAGCCTGGTGCGGTGCCACATGCCTATAGTCTGAGGCACTTGGGAGGCTGAAGCAGGAGGACCACTGGAGGCAGGAGTACCACTGGAGCCTGGGAGACCAAGGCTACAGTGAACTATGATTGTGCCACCGCATTCTAGCCCAGACGAGAGAGCAAGATCCTGTCTCAAAACCAGTAAACAAATGACTGAATCCACCACTAAAGCAGGAATGGAGAAGGAGAGCAGCTGAGATCAGCATGTTCATGAATTGCCTGGTGTTAACTATAATTACTTAACCAAAAATCCAGGCTCCAGATATTTATACACACTTACACATTTAAATGGTCTTGCCTTTCAGTCTTCCTAATTTTCTCTAATATTGCCCAATTTTCTTTTTCAATTCCTTCATCCTCCAACTTTTTCCCACTAATAGGCTCTTCTTTCATCTCATAGTGATCTAAGTTCTTCTATATCCTGCAAAAAAAAAGAAAAATGTTAGCTTATTCAACCTATTTTTCTTCAGCAGTTTCTTACGCAAAAGTTAAATTATTCTTGACTCAATGGTGGAAAATAAACAGAATATATCTATCCTATGGGGAGAGAGAAAAAGCCCCACATTCCATTCAAGAGGCTCTCACCTTTTATATCCTGTATTTTATTTAATAGCTAGACTCTGGGTAAAGCAGATTTAAATCTTTACAAAGTCACAACTATTATGAAATAAGTCATCATTTGTTTATTGACTTCTTTATTTATTTTATTTTATTTTATTTAAGATAGAGGCTCATTCTGTCACCCAGGTGGGAGTATAGTCGGGCAATCTCTGCTCACTGCAACCTCTGCCTCCCAGGTTCAGGTGATTCTCATGTCTCAGTCTCCTGAGTAGCTGGGATTACAGATGTACACCACCACGCCCAGCTAATTTCTTTGTATTTTTAGTAGAGACAGGGCTTCACCATGTTGGCCAGGCTGGTCTCAAACTTCTGATGTCAAGTGATCTGCCCACCTCAGCCTCCCAAAGTGCTGGGATTACCAACGTGAGACACCACGCCTGGCCAAGCCATCTTTTAAATCTCCTCTTAAGAGGAACCTTTGAAACAGTTTAGCAGCAGATGTCAAGAACCTTAACTGTTCATAGTTTGTTCCAGAAACTCGACTTCTAGAGTTGTATTCCAAGAAACCAGTCTAAGATGTAAACACAAATTTAGGCATAAGGATAACTATTTCAACCTTGCAACCACAAAAACAAACAAAATCTGCATGTGCAGTAATAGTAACACAGATAACTCAATTCCTTTAACTATTAAGAGGCCACTGAAATACCAACACAGCATAATTTCTCCTGTTTCGAAAAACTTTGAAATGAAAAATGGAATACACATAGGAATAGAAAGAATTTCAATTATGCTGAAATAAGCACAGAAAAAGACCAGAAGAACTTATATTGAAAGGTTAATTTCAATTAATTTTAGTTGTTATCTCTGGAGACATTTGGTGCTTTCCCCTAATTTCCAAGTTTATGGTTTTATGTAGTAAGCATCTATTGATGTTAATAACTTAAAAATAAATTAGAAAAAGAATTTGATCTCAGGTGCTCAGGAGGCTGAAAAAGAAGGATCATCTGGGCCCAGGAGTTTGAGGCTGCAGTAAGCTATGATCATGCCAACTGCACTCCAGCCTGGGTGACAGCAACCCTATCTCAAAAACTAATAATAATTTTAAAGGAATTTGAATAACACCCCACAGAACAACATCTTAATTCACATTATTCTGCTCCCTCCCTTCCCATACTATCTGTTCTTACACATATACAAATATATGCAGAATTGTTTAAATCCTAACTTTTTTCAATTACCTTATTTTTCCACTTCAACTGCCAAAATCTCTAAAGGAGTAGTTTATATTTATCTCGATTTTTTTTTCCAAGCCGGCAAACTAACCAATTTCTAGACCAGATTACTGACTACCTTCACTCAAACTCTGCCCATGACTCTGTACTTCGTGGAGCTCCCTTCTCCCTGTATACACCTTTCAGCCCTGATCTTCCATCCTACACTTGTTTTTCCCCACAATGCTCACAAATGCCTTTGGCCTATATTTCCTCCTGTACCTTCAACTTCGGTCATGTTCCCATCCACAAAACTTCTCTACCTCAGTATTAATCAGCACATCCCAACAACGTATCTTTCTAAAACAATATTCTCAGCACACGATTCCCCGCTTAAGGCCTTCTTATCAACAAACACACCAAATAGAAACATGCCTATCTCAAATTCAAGATTCTATCCATCTGCCTTTTCTGGAAAATCTTGCATTCCATGACTTCAACACATCAAACTTCCTTCTCAAAACAAAAGCATCCAATGCACCAAAACACACCATGTCCAAAGTCATTCTGGGCCTGTTCCCATGTTGTTTTAAGAGCCTAGAATATCTGCTTTTCACCTGTCCTAATCTGACACCTCCAAAGTCCAGTCTCCTGCCTTTCTAGATTTCCCTCAAAGTTGCGGTCCCTTGTTTTTCATCTTGTGAAGGGAAAATGAAAGGGTTCATGAACTTTAGTACAATGGCTGCCTGACCCATGGAAAAGGTTTAATGTTTACATGCAGCTTATTCCACCTAAGCTAAACTGCATAAAAACATTGAAACAGACTCTCATTCTAATTGGACAATTTTAAGAAGTATTTTACTCCCAGACTCATAAAACAAGCCTACAGCCAGGCACAGTGGCACACACCTGTAATCCCAGCACTTTGGTAAGTTGAGGTGGTGGATCACCTGAGGCCAGGAGTTCAAGACCAGCCTGGGCAACAGAGCGAGACTCAAATGCTACAAAAAATAAAAATAAAAAAATTAGCTGGACATGGGGCACAGGCCTGTAGTCCCAGTTACTCAGGAGGATTGCTTGAACCCAGGAGTTCAAGGTTACAGTGAACCGTGACCATGCTACTGCACTCCAGCCTGGGTGACAGTAAACCCTGTCTCAAAAAACAAACAAAAACAAGGCTACAACACTACTTTTTTAGTTCTGAATCCCTCTAATGTATATTTTACATTAAAAATTTCCAAACCAAGAAAATGAAAGCCTAAATTAATTATAAGACCCCAAACAGAAAAAAATCTTTTAAAACAATCAAGACCATGGAATTCACATACATTCTATTTGGTCAATGCAGAGACATAGAAGATCTTTGTTCCAAAGTTTAAGTTTAAATGAAAAGCTTCAGAGCCTAAAAACATCTAAAATTATACCCATGACTGACAACTGGCCTAGGCTCAATGTCTTTGGAATTTGCTCTACTAAATTTGCTACTGTATGAACGTATTCCCTCCAAAATTCAAGTGTTGCCAATGTGATGATATTAAGAGGTAGGTCTTTTAAGAATGATTAGGCCAAGAGGGCTCCTTCCTCCTTCATGGGATTAAGGCCCTTATGAATGAGGCCTCACACTTTGGACTAGATTGCTCTCCTGCCCTTCTTCCTGCTACCATGTGAGGATGCAATGAAAAGGCCCTGAGACACCAAATGTTGATATTTTCATCTTGGATTTCCCAGACTCCAGAACTGTCAGAAAATAAATGACTGTTCTTTATAAATTATTCACTCTCTGTTATTCTGTTACAACACTATAAAACAGACTAAGACAAATTTCTTTGAATGATTTTTCAACAAGTGACAGTTTCACTACTTCTGGCAAGTGGTCCCTTAAATATTCTCAAATTCTCCTTTTATGCAAACATAAAATTTTTTAAACTCAGTAGCTTCTCTTCCAAAAAATAACCAAATACAGGTTAAGTACTGATTAGTATTAAATATAATTTTAGTGCCAAAAGTTAAGAGCTTTTGTTTTCCAGAAAATCAAATCCAAGAATTCAGATAAAACAATTTGCTCAAAGGCATATCATGAGTTAGAGGTAAAGCTAAAATTTATAAGTTACATTCCATTCCAAATATGACGTGCTTTCAATTATTCTACATTAACATTTATTTATAAAGAAGATTAGAGAATGACTCAAATGTTCAAAACTGAAGATATTTATGATTTTTTTTTTTTTTTTTTTTGAGACAGAGTCTCACTCTTGTCACCCAGACAGGAGTGCAGTGGCATGATCTTGGCTAACTGTAACCTCCACCTCCTGGGTTCAAGCAATTCTCCTGCCTCAGCCTCCTGAGTAGCTGAAATTACAGGTGCCTACCACCATGCCCAGCTATTTTTTGTACTTTTAGTAGGGGCAGAGTTTCGCCATGTTGGCCAGGCTGGTCTCAAACTCCTGACCTCAGGTGATCCAACCACCTTGGCCTCCCATAATGCTGGGGTTACGGGCATGAGCCACCTCACCTGGCCAAAATGTTATTCTTACATAAAATGCCTACTTCAGCCATCTCTTCTTCTTCCTCTTCTTTTGAAGTCACTTCTTCTGTTGTCCCATTCTGAAACAGAGAAAAAATCTGCCAGGGTTACACAGAACAAGTATGCACATTAGAAGACTGGTGTAATAGCTTTAGGAACAAACTCCCAACCATCTGTCACTGCAGTTCCACTACCAGAGAGCTTATTAAAATTAAAATGTGCATTTTAAAATCCAACTTTGATTTGACAAACAACAGTTCTCAGCTTTTAAAAATGAAACAATTTTGAACAATTCAACTTAATGGATGTCTTAGGAATAAAGGAAAGCAATCAATCAAACATAAAGCAAAACTGAAAAAAATTTTAAAACATAATCTAATTTAAAATAAGAAAACATTTTACTTGTATGGCTATGTGCATAAGATCAAAGGCTTATTTTGTTTAAAACAAATGTCCCAAACTATCAATTCCTCAAAACAGCTACCTTTTTAACTTTGAAAAGCCTGAATCATTACATAAATTCAATTTCCTTACATTTTAAGAGGTCAGACGTGTTACTTATAATAGACACTTCCCAAAACTAAGAATTATGAAATGATTACCACCTCACTATAAAGGAAATTTTCTTTTAAAAAACATGTAATTTACTCTCAAATATCTCTCTACAAGACACAATTTACCAATTAACACAAATTACAATTATCAAGTTCAGAAATGAATGTAATGAATTTTTAGGAAGGGCCTTCATAGCCAGTTTGGGCAAAGTTCAAAAGACAAGCTTCCTGGTCAGGACACAGTATATAAATGCATCTTCAACCATAAAGGCCAGTTCAGGTTAGAACCCAGAATATGTAAAAGATCAAGAAACTAGGATCCAGAAATCAAGATCAACAAAACTGTCAGCAGTATCTAAGCAGCAGCTTCCAAAATGTAATCCACCCCTTTTTCACTTCCCTAAATTATTATATTACAAATTCAATTATTCTGGGTATCTAAAGAATATATACCTAGCCTCAGAATCCCAAAGAGTTTGGTTGCATCAATGGTTGAAACAGCATTTTTGAAATGCTAATTTCAAAGCGTACCCAAAGAATCTGTTTTGCAAAACTCTCTGAGGTGATTCTCACATGCATCTGGGTCTGTCACCACTAACCCAGTTACTAGCCTTCATTCTACACATGAGAAAGCTGAGCCCCTTCCCCCTCAAAAAGGGGAAGTAATTTAATCAAAACAAAAAGTGAGTTAGGGCTGTGAAATCCTAAGATTTATTTCATTTCAAGATGTGACCTGGTCCTCTTTCTAAAACCCCACTGAAATGACAGAATTTTATAAAAGAGAGTAAGTTCACTGAAGCAGCAGCAAAACAATAAATACAAAAAGAATACCCTTAGTGAACCAAAACTGTAAGGACATGCTGGAAGATACAAAGCAGATGGAATCAGACTGCTGGGCTCGAGAAAGCCACAAACCCAATCCAAATAATGGAGGGACCACTTTTGTTTGAATAATCAAACATTCTTCATCATACTTGTCCCAACTATAGTTGGTAAGGATCACTTCGCTAATAGGAAGCCTATCTTGAAGGTCTCTTACTATGACTGTCAAAACCAGAGAGAAAAGACAGAATGTTTTTTAATATAACTCAATGCAGCAGCAAAATCTTATAACAGACTCTGCCTCTTCATTTTTGCTCAAAATCTGGAAAGCTCACTGGCCAGAACCTCCCCATCCTCATGCCACAGGAAGAGCACAGGTCTGCAAACCAGGAGGGGGAGGTAACAGCAGAAAAGAGTGACAATTCTGAAGACACTCATAACTACTCATACTGATCAAAGGTATACCTCATGTATAAATGAACAGATAACCATGTATCATTAGAGAGTTGAAGAAAATTATCAACCTGCAAGGAAAGTGCCAAGTCAAAGAAGCACAAATGACCTGAAGCACTGCTAATGAAGGAAATAAACAGAATTTTAAAATCTAATTGGAATCTTTAGCAGTAATTGAGAAGATACTGTATCCACAAAATACAAAACAGATTACTATGTAAAAGACAATTCTAGGAGGTAAAAATAAGACCCCCAAATCAAAAAATGAAAAAAAAAACCACTTGTAGAAGGGCCAGAGCACAATGGACTTCACTCAGCAAAGCATTTAAGGTGACTCATGTCTGTAATCCCAGCACTTTGAGAGGTTGAGGTGGGTGGATCATGAGGTCAGGAGATCAAGACCATCCTGGTTAATGTGGTAAAACCCTGTCTCTACTAAGAGTACAAAAAATTAGCCAGGCATGGTGGCACATGCCTGTAGCCCCAGCTACTCAGGAGACTGAGGCAGGAGTATCACTTGAACGTGAGAGGTAGAGGTTGCTGTGAGCCAAGATCGCACCACTGCACTCCAGCCTGGGTGACAGAATGAGACTCCATCTCAAAAAAAAAAAAAAAAAAAAAAAAGAAAAACCCCCACACTTTACAGTTACACAGAAAATCATACTAACTATCAGAAAGAACTAAGAATCAGATAGGCATCAGAGTTTTCATCTATAACAATAAATATCAGAACATAAAAGTGTAAAGACCTGGAAAGAAACTCAATTATGACCTCAGAATTCTATATCTAACTCCCTCAAGACAGGAAGCCTATCTGTGTATGTTTGCCTCCAGATTCTCCACACTGATATGGATGGAGTACTTTATACAGAGTCAGATATTTGTTGAACAAATGATAGCAGACAGTAAGTTCATGGAACACACTCCATACACATTCCCACAAACCCTTTCTAGGGGGAAAAAAACCCAGGATATTATTCAGGGATATACTTGAGGGGCAGGGAGCAGGAGACATAATACAAGAAGTAGCAATAAGCAAAGACAACAGTAACACCAATAGTGAAGTGTAAATGATTGCTAATAATCTAGCTGAAAGGTCACTTGCCATATTCTCTGACCATACTGATGCACTAAAAATAATTCAAAAGCCACCTGAAAATGCTTTTTAAATTTTTTTTTCTAGATAACTCTTGGGTAAAAGAAGAAATTGATCCTCATGCCTCAATCATCCAACTCCTAAGTATGTGCCCCAGAAAAATGCTGGCACAGGGGTACCATGAAATATAGACAACAATGATCACAGCAGCATTCGCTGTTCCTAATAACACTGGAAACAACCCACATGTCTGTATCTAGTCAAGGGAATAAATGGTATGGTGTATTCAAACAATGGAGTAAATACAGCAAAGCAAAAGAACGATAGCTACGCACAATAGGAACAAATTTCACACACAATATTGAGCACAACAAAGGTATGAAAAAATACATATAGCATGATTTTCAAAAGTTTAAACAATAGGCAACACTACACTGTATTGTTCAAGGATGCATATATGAGCGATAACACTAGAGAAACATAAGTTTTCTGTAGTGCAAGCAGTGTGCCTTTTCTTCTTCACCTCAGTGCTGGCTAGGTGTTGGTTCCCAAGTACTCACTCTAACTATATGTTACAATAAGCTTATGTTTTACATAGTTTCAATACATGTCATATCTCACAATAAAAAGGTTTTTTTTTTGGTGGGGGCAGAGTTTTGCTCTTATTGCCCAGGCTTGAGTGCAGTGGCACGATCTCAGCTCACTGCAACCTGTCTCCTGGATTCAAGCGGTTCTCCTGCCCCAGCCTCCTGAGTAGCTGGATTTGTAGGCATGTGCCACCACACCCAGCTAATTTTTGTATCTTTAGCAGAGATGGGCTCTCTCCCTGTTGGTCAGGCTGGTCTTGAACTCCTGACCTCAGGTGATCTGCCTGCCTTGGCCTCCCAAAGTGCTGGGATTACAAGCATGAGTCACCGTGCCCGGCTAATAAAAAGTTTTAATAGTAAGAGCAATGAGGACATAGGATGCAATAAAATGACTTAGAAAATACAAACTGTTTAGAAAATAGATTTTAAAACCTGTGTAATAAAGTCAAACAGCACCCAAAGAAAATGTATATTCTTACATGTTTGTTTAAAAAGCAATTTAAATTACATTGATCCACTAAACTAGAAAAAGTAAAATAAAGAAAAAGGGGAAATAATTAAGACATAAGGAAAATGTGAAAAGAAACCCACTAAATTTAAAAAATAAAACTAAAGGAGGATTCTTTCAAAAGACTAAGATAATAAAACAATCACGCCTCTGATAAGTGATCAAGATAAAGAAAACTTTGAAGGGAAAAGGGCATATAGCCACATGTTAGTATGATGTAAAAAGTGAAAACTTTACACATCTTTACAACTCCTTTGAAGTGTGGAAGAAGTGCTCATTTCTTTTAAGAATCTACAGTTATGAAAACTAACTGAAGAAATGGAAAATCTGGAGACCAATACACAAGAAGGAAAAAGACAGACTCATCCTCCAAATTGGACATTTATTTAAACCAGGGTTTGTCAGCCTCAGCAATATTGATATATTGGGCCAGACAATTCTTTGTGGAGGGTTCTCCTGGTGTGTTGTGGGACATTTAGTAACATCCCCTCTACCCACAGAATGCCAATAAGACCTCCCGACCATGGCCAGTTGTGATCACAAAAATGTCTCCAGATATTTCCAAACGTCCCATGGGAGGCAAAATATTCCTGCAGTTGAAAATTACTGTGTAAACTAGATTTACATCCTAGGTGTTAGAAAAAAAGATGTAAAGCTTCCCAAGTTAGCCCTGCATACCCTTGATACTGGAATGAAATAAGAGCCTTAAAGGAAACAAACAAAACTTTAATCTTATTTAATACAGAAGTAAAATATAGAATATTACCATAGCCGTTCTAACAGTGTTTATTATAGGAATGCAAGGATGATTCAAAATTGGGAAAATTTCATCAGGTAATTCACAAATTATATTTCTCCATGGAATTGTAGGCACAATCATGAAAAACAAGGTAGCTCTATATGCATTAAGTTCATGTGATATTCAGTGGAAAAGACAAGTTGCATATGTCTTATAGAAAAAAACTGAACACTGAACACATATTTTTACCATCTGCTCTTTGTCCTGAGGCTCCACTAGAAATACAGTGAAGAAGAAACATTATATAAACACACAATTACAAAAAAAAGGAATGGGGTTACCAACAGAAGATAATTCACCTCCATTAGACAACGACAGTAAATGGAAAATGGTTAATTAATAGAGCAAAGCAAACAAAAGTGGAGGTCAGGGGGATACCAATTACAAGTAGGCTAATTTGTCCCACAGCAACCTGGAAAAGTTCTAGACTCAGACACCAGGTATCCCCGAGGGTGGGACTGATAGGCAAGACTGAAAACAGAGATTAACAAAAAACCTATATAGAGAACACATTTTCCAGGCCCTGAAACACACTACTCTCCCCCAACTCCTTAAGCAGAAACCAAGCAAACTTATCTACCTCAGACAAGAGAATGTAGATTTCACCTCCAGAGGAATGGAGTAGTTCCAGTCATCATTTATGATTGCACTGGGAGATAAGATAGAGGGGTAGAGGATAACAATCAGGAATCAGCATATATTCCCCCTAAAAGCCATCAGTTGCCAAGTATTGGCCTTGAAGAACTCCTAATCGATTTTTTATTTTTATTTTTTATTTGTATTTATTTTATTTATTTATTTATTGAGGCAGGGCCTTGCTCTTTCACCCAGGCTGGAATGCAGGAATGCAGTGGGATGATCACACCTCACTTCAGCCTCAACATCCCAGGCTCAAGCGATCCTTCTGCCTCAGCCTCCCAAATAGCTGGGACTACAGGTGGGTGTCACCACACCTGGCTATTTTATTTATTTATTTTTTGTAAAGATAGGGTCTCACTATGTTGCCCAAACTAGTCTTGAGCTCCTGGGCTCAAGTGATTCTCCACATCAGTCTCCCAAAGCACTGAGATTGTAGGTGTGAGCCACCACACCCAGCCTCTCAGTCTTTTAGTACCTCTCCCAAATATGAATGAACAAGAATGGGAATTACAAAAAGGAATACAGGCTGGGCATGGTGGCTCGTGCCTTTAATCCCAGCACTTTGGGAGGCCAAGGTGGGCAGATCACCTGAGATCAGGAATTCAAAACCAGCCTGACTAACATGGAGAAACCCCTTCTCCACTAAAAATACAAAAATTAGCTGGGCGTAGTGGCACATGCCTGTAATTCCAGCTAATCAGGAGGCTGAGGCAGGAGAATTGCTTGAACCCATGAGGCAAAGTTTGCAGTGAGCCAAGATCACGCCATTGCACTCCATCCTGGGCAACAAGAGTGACACTCTGTCTCAAAAAAAAAAAAAAAAAAAGACTACAAATGATAAGCAACATAGAATAGATATTTAAGGAAAGGCTTTAAAAAGAAAAATAAGACCAAAATAAACTAAGAAAAAAAAGTATTAAAGAACAAAGAGATGCTAGAGAGAAAACAAAAGAGTATCAAAATCACTTCATAAAGACACTTGTGAATGTATTATATGAATAAAACAAAAATAGAATATGAATAAGGAATAATCAGAGAAGAAAAAGTTCTTAGAACTCAGGGTTCACCTTGGGAGTTGGTCCCCAATGAGCCACACCTCCTGTCGTCATGTCTTTGAACAGGCCCATCCCACAGTGAATCTGGGTTGGCCCCAAGACTCACTTTAACCTAGAGAATTTGGTAGAAATGACAGTGGACCTGTTCCAGGTCTAAGTCTTAAGAACACCTGGCAGCTCCACTTCTGTGCTTCTGGAAGCCAAAACAAGTACTGACTATCCTTTTGGAGAAACAGAAGCCACAAGAAGAGGCCTGAGAAGATGAGATACTATGCAGAGAGGAAGGCCACATGAAGAAACACCAAGACAGCAGACCTGTGGGTGAAGAAGCCATCTCAGACACTCCACTGCAGCTGAGCATCCAGATGACCAGTCCCTGACACCATCTAACTGCACAGTGAGAGATGCCAAATGAGACCAGCAGAAAAACTGTCCAGCTATCCCCAGTTAACCCATACGGTAGTGACAGACAAATGTGTAGTTTTATGCCATTAAGTTTTGGGAAAATTGGTTAAGCAACAATAAATAACCAAAACAAAACTTAAAGTTATGACTGTCCAAATAAAATTTCCTAAAAGTCATAAGATAAAAATATTCCAGAACTTAAAATAAAAAAAAAATTAGAAATAACGTGAGATACACGACTCAAGACAAAAGGACTAATTTACAGACCCTTCAAAATGAACAAACAAAATGGAAAGGAGAAAGTTAACAAAAATATGACAAGATTCAAGATTCCAACTTTGAAAGAGTCTATCCATAGGCCTGTCCATTCAGTGTACCCAGCACAATGAATGAAAAAAGACCCACATTAAGTACAATGTTGTGCTATTTCAGCTCACCAAGGAAAAGACAAACTCCTAAAAGCTTCCAGAAAGTCATGCATAAATGAGTGAAACTCAGGATGACATGAGGTTCCACCACCACGACTGGTTAGAAGACAACAGCATAGACTTTGAAATTCTAAGGTAAAATTATCCTCAACCTAGAAATACATAATCAACCAAACTATCCATCAAGTGTGAGGGTAGACTATGACAAAAGAGAATAGTGATGGGGATGTGCTATGCACCAGGCACTATTCTAAATGGTTTACATGTACCAACTCATTTAATCATCATAGCTTCCTAGAAACATAGGTACTAATACTATCACTGGTTCCCCCATTTTGCAAATGGAAAATTGATGCATAGAGCAATTAGGGTATCAGCCCAAGGGCATACAGCTAATAAGCAGTAGAACCAAGATTCAAACCTATCTCAGACTGGCTTCAAAACCCAAACACTGGATTGTATTTTTTCAGAAGCTAGAGATCAGAAAATATACCACCCCATGCTTCCTTTGGGTTTTACTTGAGGACATAGTCAGGTAAAATGACAAAGGGAAAGCCAAGAAAGATGACATGGGATCCAGGAAACTGTGGATCTACTCTAGGGGAGCAGATGAGAAAAACCTCAAGGTGATATCTGCACAGCCAACCCACAGAGCTATCTGCCAAAATGGGCACAGAGGAGCCAAAGGCTTTGGAAGAGAAGGAGATCTCACAGGAAGGGCTACAACAGAATTTTTTTATTTAAAAATTACTATTATGAGGAAGACACTGCAAAACAAAAAGCAGCACCAAGAAAACAAATATCCTATCCTAAATATTCCAGAAAACTTGGCTTTATAAAGTCCTAATCATAATTAGTGATAACTTATATGACTAAAGATAATATTTGAGGAAGGGAAAGTGAGTGGTATAAGAGCTAAATTCTCATGTATTATACTAAAAAGTCAATAACTGATACCTAAATAGATAAATCCAGGAAGAAATTAGGGGTAGTGGTGAGCTAGTGGAGATTTCTGTTGCTTGCAGGAGATAACATTTGGGCAAGTCCTTAAGAAGCGTAGACAGACTTAAGGAGATGGCATTTCTAGGTGAAGGTAATTCAATGAACAAAGACAAACAATGAAAGAAGCAAGAACATTTATGGACACCAGGAATATTAACAACAAAAAGCTGGTGTTAGGGAAAAGGGCAATTGTTGCCTGTCATACTAAATACCAGCAGCTCCAAAGAATGAAAAGGTTATTTTTAGTATCTAAAACAGAATAAACAGAACAATTCAATAGGAACAGAAAAACAACCTTCTAAATAAGTTGAATAATTTTTAAAAATCATCCTAGTTTGACTTTTTTTGAGACAATTTATTTTCACTCTTGAACACTACAGAATTTTTACTTTACCTGACCTATGGGTAGTGGTTGATCTGGCATCTCAACATCCAGGTGCTTAGGAAGGTTATCTGATCTGCAGAGTCCACATATCCAGCACTTCAATTGCTGATGAAGCTACAAAACACATTTCAGTAAATAAGCATTATGTTGAAGAGCCCTTAGAAGACATCAATAATGTTATGACTACTGTAATCAACCCAGTAGGAAATAAAAAAAGTTTGTTATTACTCACCTACCGCTTACAGATTAAAAAAAAAAAAAAAAGCTCTTTAAAATATTTTCAGGAGGCTCTAGTTTAAGAAAGTTACTATGGCTTGGGGTATAATCACTACTACTGATACCTGGCAGAATGACAACAATAAAGGCAGAGGATCCTAGGAAGTTCCAGATATTGTCCAATTTCTCATTGTTACCTTGTTTTCCTAGAAACTTACAACTTCAAACAAGAGAACCTTAATATATTAATGAGGCTACCAAAAAGAAAAAGAAAAAAAACCACACACAGGCAGTGTTGTTACACATGGATTATAAAATTATATATTCCAGTGATAGTCAGTTAAAAGTACAAAAGCAAATGTAATCCAGCAGACAAAGCCTGGAAATCTAGATGACCTTGGATATCACATCTAATTCCCTGAGTTTGAGTCTACTCATCTGTAAAACAAAGAAATGAAAGCTTTCCCAGAATGGTAAAGATTAAATGAAACCTGTAAAACACTTGATACTTAATAGGCTCTTAAGTGTCTGTCTAAAAAATAATAATTCACTAGGAAACTGCAAAGAATAACTAAATTTCCATGTTTAAGTCCAAATTGTATTGTAAGCACATTTACTTTAAGGAAGTAAGCAAGGTAAACTATGTGCACAAGTGTGGTTTTCATTGTTTAAAATGTTTTTCAATGTATAAGGTGACTCAAATGGGATCCAATAAGGCAACTCACTTCACTTGGTCAGGAAAAATTTTCTGGGTATCTCTGACCAAGAAGAGAGATAAAGAGAAAGAAGCAGGTTCACACAGGACAAAGAAAGAAGACACAGGATTAGAATGGGTTAATGAAGCAAAGAATAAGCCTTCCCAAAGTGAACAATGAAGAAGGTGGAAACAGAAAGGTTGAACCATAAATTAGGATCCACCAAAAATCCTCATGCTTAAAAGGAAGCCAAGCCCCAGTGTGGATTTATTATGCACCCAATGTGCTCTGTTTTGTGCATAATGAAGATAAGGCAGGGCGATCTGGACACAGACCTGGAAACTCTGACCTCTGGCACAGAAGGGGCTACAGGAGGGCTGGGGTGAAACAGGAATTAAAAGAAATTAAAGAATGTGTAAGCAAAAACTCAGTTGAATGTAAAAAAAAAAAAAAAAAAAAAAGCAAAACCGAATTCCCCCTAAGAAAGAAAAAGAGGTGGAGTACTTTAAAAATTAACTGCCTGTTTTTCTGAGGCTAGTGAGCCTTATCTCTCCTCCTTTCCCAGGCTTTGTGAAGACCCTGTTTCTCTAGCTGTGCAGCTGCAAGGTCACTAGACAGATAAACTCAAGTTGTAAAACATGTTTTTCCTTGAAAAGTAAGAAATAATGTAATGTATGTCTCAATTGAAAAACTATCTTTGTTTCTTGCTTCTGTAATATGCTTCCCCCTGCATAGATCTCCCCCACCCCACAAAATGCTTAAAAGGTAACCTGACTCTTTGTTCAGGGCTCAGTCCTTT